TCAAGTTCTTGGAAGCAACTATGAGTAATGGCAATAGTATATGCTTTTGGGGCAGCCTCTGTGACTCCCTGACAACTTGAAGGTAAAATTTACATACCTGCCCTTGGAATTTTCTGTTTGATAGTGTCTGACACTTGGAGAAAGAAAGCATTATTACCCATGTGGTGTAACTCCTCAACGCAAGATAACACACATACACACTATTATATACTTATTTTATGTAAGCATATAAAATATGATGCTTCTCTGTGGCTTTTTTCAAACATTCATAGAGTTACTTCTCTCTCCTTCCTCCCTCTGCCACTTTATTACCCTACCCCCTTTACCGGGTTAAAGACTCACACGTGCTTTTCTTATTTCCCCTTTCATAACACCTAAGTCCCCCTTTCTCCCTCTCTAAAGGTCATCACCCCCAAGCCCCCCTTTCCCCCCCCCTAAAGGTCCCCCCCCCCCCCCTACTCCTCCTTGGATGCTGTCTGCTTTCCTGGTTTCTATAGTCATTTCAGGCTGTATATTTAAAACATTTGGAGCTAGGATTCACAAATAAAAAAAGAACTCTGAGTCTGGCTTACCTCATTCAGTGTAATATTTCCAGGTCCGTTCATTTGCTTGCAAATTCCATCTTTCCATTTTTTCTTTACAACTTAATAGAATTCTGTCTGGGATATATGCTATATGTTCATTATCCAGTCATCAATTGATGGACATTTAGATTGTTTCCATTTTCTGGCTATTGTGAATAGGACAGCAATGAAAATGGTTGAGGAAGTATCTGTTGAGTGTATGCCAAGAAGTGGGATAGCCATGTCATTTGTAAATCGACTTTTAGCATTTTTAGAATTCTTTGTACTGATTTCCAAAGTGACTGCACCAGTTTTAAATTCCACCAACAGTTGTTTTCTTGATCTTAGCCACTTTGAGTAGGGTAAGTTGAAATCTCAAGGTAATTTTAATTTGCATTTACCTAGTTGTTAAGGATCTCACACAGCTTTAAAGATACTTTTTGGAAATTGTCTTTCTTCTGTTAACTCTGTTCAGATCCATGGCCTGTCATATTTTTTTCTTGACTATGTTTATTGAGCCCTTTATATATTCTATACATTTATCTTCCACCAGATGAATAGCTGACAGATATCTCCACTATATGACCTTCCTTTTAGCTCAATGGATTGTTTCCTTTAGTTTTCTAAGGCATTTTAGTTTTGTGAAATCCCATTTGTCAGTTGTTGGACTTAATTTCTGAGTGAATAGAGTCCTATGTAGAGAGTCCTTTAGTACATCTATCTTGACATGTACTGTCTTTATGTCAGTAGTATACTTTTATTGGGGGTAACTCCTTAATACATCTTGAAATTTAGAGTAGTTAATACTTCAGCATTGTTTTTTGTCTTTGTGTGTGTGTGTGTTGGTGCTGAGATGTGTGTGTGTATGCATTCATGTGTGTTTATTGTTTTCCTTGGGATTGCTTTGGCTATCAAGGTGTTTATACTTTCCTATGGAGTTTAGGAGGTTTTTTTTTTTTTCCTATGTGAAGAATATCATGAGTGTTTAGATTATGATTACACTGAATCTGATTTTCTTTCTGTCGGGACAGTCATTTTCACAACACTGGCTTCACTAATCCTTGTGCATGGGCAGTATTTTCTTCTTCTAGTGTCTTTCTCAGCATCACCATTCAGAGTTTAAAGTTTTCATTGTAGAGATCATTCGCTTTTGGTTTGGTTCATTCTTAAATGTGTTTGTCAGACTTTATAATATTCAAGTCTAGTTTAATAATATGCAATCTAATGGAATACCAATTATCTTTGTTAGGTTTCTTTTGCTGTGATAAAACACCATGGCTCAAAACAACTTGTGTAGGAAACTTTATTTCATCTTCTAGCTTGTAGTCCATTATCCAGGAAAGTCAAGGCAGGAATCCAGGTCAAGAACCTGGAGGGAGGAACTGACGCATAGACCCTGGATTAGTGCTGCTTACTGGCTTTCTCCTCATGGCTTTCTCAGCTTGCTCTCTATCAAGGACTACCGGTTCAAGGGTGGTATCACCCACATTGGTTTGGGCCTTCCACAGCAATCATTCATTAATCAGGAAAATGACCCACAGGCTTGTCTACAGGTCACTCTTTTGGAGGCATTCTCTCACTTAAGAGTTCCTCTTCCCAGATATGTCTGATTTATGTCAAGTAAACAAAACCCTCATAGCACAGCAGTGAAAATGTATGGGGTAAATATTCAATTTGTAATAAAGATGGCATTTTAGTACTCTTAGGAAAAATTAGATATTCACCTTATGATATAAATGAAAATGGAGTATTTATTAAATGAAGTAGTTTGATTGTTTAGAAACTAATCATGTCAGTCTTCCCTGATAAAAATGATCCCACTTTCAAGTGAGTGAAGAAATAACTGAAATAAAGGAAGCCTTCTCCTACTTAATCTTTACCTCAGGGAGGTTTTGGGGGGCATGAAACAAGCAAGCAGAAAATATCTGAAACATGGTTTATTATAGTGATATTAATTTCAATGTGTGATGGCATATCAAAATTGAAAGAAATAATAAACAATGGATTTATTTTAATAAAAAATTAAATAGGCTTAATATCTTTAATGGTAAAGAAGTGTTACAGACTTCAGTAGGTCAGACACTGTGGAGATGACTCAGATGTTACAGTGTTTGCTGCCCAAGAAGTCCTAAGTGCATATCTCCAGAAACCATGTCAATGATGGATGGATGTAGAGGTCTGTCTGTAATCTTAGCCTTGGAATACAGACATAGGGATCTCCCACAACCTGGCTAACATTGACTAGCCACATCTTAAAGCCCTGTATGTAACTGTGAAATCTTGTCTTAATGAATAAACTGGAAGAACAATTAGGATAGATGTAAACCCTAAGCCTCCACATATGAACATATGTGTTATTAAATGTGTATTAATCATGTTTAATTGATTACAGTTAATACATGTGCACATGTGTAACCCATCCCACACTTACACAAATAAATATATACACACCATATACATACATATATATATATATATATATAT